GCCAGGTACTGTCTCTGAACTTCTCTAGATGCCAGCCTCTAGACCTGGATTTTGTAGTGTGTTTTTGTGGGTGGATGTTATACTTATCGTTGCCTGTATCGGTTTAAACCGCTGCCAGGGACTGGGTTAGAAGTGGGAGGCTGAAGAAGAAGAGATTGGATTTCTACCCCTGCCCTTCACTATCCAAATGAGTCTCAGAGCGGCTCACAAACTCCTTTCCCTTCCCCTCCCCACAACAGGGTGTGAGGGAGGTGGGGCTGAGAGAGCTCTTTTGAGGACTGCTCTTGAGAGAACAGCTCTGACAGAACTACGGCTTGCCCAAGGTCAGCTGCGAGTGGAGGAGTGGGGAATCAAACGCGGTTCTCCCAGATTAGAGTCCGCGCACTTAACCACTACACCAAACTGGCTCAAAAGTTTAATTAATTAAACACAACAGGATCCCGATGGGGCTATAAACTTGCCTTTTGAAATAGGTCATAGAGTCAGGGGGTAGCAGAGTGATGCAGGGCAGAGCAGTGCCCGTTTCGAAGGCCTGTGGGACCTCCCTGAGCAATGCTCCCTCTAAGCTGTGGAGTCTCGTGAGCAAAATTTCTAATTTGTGAGCTACTGGCATGAAAGTTGTGAGCGGGCGATTTGACGACTGCATGAATCAGTCTGCTCTGGAGCCCTCCTTCCTGAGCTAAGACAAAAATGTGTGAGCCGGAGGCTAAAAAAACTGTGAGCCAGCTCACACTAACTCAGCTTAGAGGGAACAATAGTCCAGGAGCACCTTTAAGACCAACGAAGTTTAATTCTGGGTTATCAGCTTTTGTGTGCACGCACACTTCTTCAGATGCGCACGTAAATTGATATCCAGAATAAAACTTAATTGGTCTTAGAAGTGCCGCTGGACTCAAACGTTGTTCTGTTGCTTCAGGCCAGCACAGCCACCCACCTTAACCTATATGAATGAGTAAAACTGAAGTATCTCTTCCAAAACCTGCCCTTTCCCTTTGGGTGGGGGGTCAGGGGAGGACATCATAGCACACCATGCCTTGCAGGTAGGGCCTCACCTCAGGAATGATGAAGGTACGTAAACCTCGTCCTCCCCTGGAAATTCCGCAGGGCATATTTGTACATGTTAAAGCGCTTGGGGCTCTTCATCTTGGAGAAACAATGGCTGAGGGGTGATGTGATTGAGGTTTATAAGATTATGCGTGGGATAGGGCAGGTAGAGAAAGAGGTACTTTTCTCCCTTTCTCACAATACAAGAAGTCAAGTGGGCACTCCATGAAATTGCTGCGCAGTCGGGTTAGAACGGATAAAAGGAAGTCCTTCTTCACCCAAAGAGTGATTAACACATGGAATTCACTGCCACAGGAGGTGGCGGCGGCTACAAACATGGATGGCTTCAAAAGGGAATTAGATAAGCATCTGGAGCAGAGGTCCATCAGTGGCTATTAGCCACAAGGTATAGATAGGGGCTCTGGGACAAGTGATGCTCTGACTTCTTGGTGCTTGAGGGGGGCAACAGTGGGAGGGCTTCTAGTGTCCTGGCCACACAGCTGGACCTCCTGATGGCACCTGGTGTTTTTGGTCACTGTGTGACAGAGTGTTGGACTGGATGGGCCATTGGCCTGATCCAACATTGGCGTCTCTTATGTTCTTATATGGAGCAGAGGTCCATCAGTGGCTATTAGCCACAAGGTATAGATTGGAACTCTCAGTCTGGGGCAAGGGATGCTCTGTCTTCTTGGTGCTTGGGGGGAGGCAACAGTGGGAGGGCTTCTGGTGTCCTGGCCCCACTGCTGGACCTCCTGATGGCACCTGGTATTCTTGGCCTTGTGTGACACAGAGTGTTGGACTGGATGGGCCATTGGCCTGATCCAATATTGGCTTCTCTTATGTTCTTATGTCTGGGGCAAGGGATGCTCTGTGTTCTTGGTGCTTGGAGGGGGGCAACAGTGGGAGGGCTCCTAGTGTCCTGGCCCCACTGCTGGACCTCCTGATGGCCCCTGGTGTTTCTGGCCACTGTGTGACACAGAGTGTTGGACTGTATGGGCCACTGGCCTGATCCAACATTGGCTTCTCTTATGTTCTTATGTTTCCTTGGGGAGCATTGATTGTGAGTGCAGGGAATCAGCTGGCCCAAGAGAAATAGTTTCAGAAGGCAGCTTGTGTTGGTCTACACCAAAACGGATTCGAGCGCAGTCTCACCTATTTTCGTTTCTTTGTCTCTTCATTTCACCTGACGGTACAAGGAAAGAAGACATGCAACTCGTTTGATAGAATAGGTGCAGTAGAAAAGACTGTAGAATGTATAGAGACCAGAACATATATATAAAAGAAAGCAAAAATGGGTTATTTTGTTAGTGTTGCTAAGTAGTCAGTTTTCGTGAAGTTGCGGATCCATGAGTAACATATTAATATCTATTATAGCTGAACTTAGTATTAAGCATATGGCGGAAGTTAGACTTAGCTGAAGTATGCATGTTTTATTTGAAATTTCTTAAGATTGTTTTCATTGGAAGTATAACTTTTAAATTCACCCTTTCTCCTTCTCTTTGTACTATTGTTTAGCTAAAGACACTAGGCATGAAGGCATGTACTGTGACTAATACAATGTGTTCAGTAGGAATGATTGTAGATCGTATGGAGACTAGAATGTATAGATAAAAGGAAACATAAATTTTGATAGTTCTTTAGTGTTGCTAAGTTTTTGAGATGGTAAAACCCTAGGAAACTCAGTTACTATGTTAGGTATGAGCTGTCCTAACAGATCTTGCAAAATGTACAATGCTGTCTTTTTTTCCTTCCTTCCTTCCTTCCTTCCTTCCTTCCTTCCTTCCTTCCTTCCTTCCTTCCTTC